AACACTTACAATGTACTGTTCCAAATTATTATGCACAGTATGTTTCAAAACACTTTATGGGTTGTAAAGAACTGAAAATTGTCATTTGTTGTGTTTGCAGCATATTTACTGAAATCAAAAGCTATTTCATTCAAACTTTTAACAACATTTTAACTTTTTAAACATTTTAACAGGTCACATTACATTTTAACATAGGACCCCTTATTTGATAGCAGCTTCACAAGTCTTGCATCCATTGAACTTGTGAGTTTTTGGACAGTTTCTGCTTGAATTTGTTTGCAAGATGTCAGAACAGCCTCCCAGAGCTGCTGTTTGGATGTAAACTTCCTCCCACCCTCATAGATCTTTTGCTTGAGGATGCTCTAAAGGTTCTCAATAGGATTGAGGTCAGGGGAGGATGGAGGCCACACCATGACTTTCTCTTCTTTTATCCTCATAACAGCCATTGATGCAGAGGTATTCTTTGCAGCATGAGATGGTGCATTGTCATGCATGAAGATGATTTTATTACGGAAAGCATAGTTCTTCCTTCTGTACCAGGAAAGAAAGTGGTCAGTCATAAACTCCAAATACTTTGCAGAGGTCATCTTTACACCTTCGGGGGATCTAAAGGGGCCAACCCGCTCTGTTCCCATGATTTCAGGCCAATACATGACTCCACCACCGCCTTGCTGACGTCGCAGTCTTGTTGGAACAGGGTGGCCGTCCACCAACCATCCACTACAGTCAAGGTCCTACCTTTCCTCAGGGCTTGTGCTGCTCCATGTGCTGGCATCCATCTTAGGTGTCAGCAAAGCATTGTGGGATCCTTTATGCTTTCAGCCCTCTGCGGCTCCTCCCAGGAGGTGGCGGCTTATCACATTTAAGTCTGTTTGTAGCTGTCCATTGCATTCGTGTCCTGTCTGTTGCATAGCAGCAAGCTCCTGTTCAGTTCACTCATTGCTCTCCTGGATACCCACTCGGCTTTGGCAAAGACTTCTCCTGGCTTCTGACCCCGGCTCTGTGACCATTCCTCCTGGCTTCTGACCCCGGCTCTGGCTACGATTCCCGCTGGTTCTCGACTTGATTATCCTGGAAGACGACCTCGGCAGGAGAACTTCTGTCCTACCAAGTCATCCACTGTTGCTGTCGGACTTGCATAGACTCTTGCCTTGTTTCTGTGTAAATAAATCTACCTTTAATTGCACCTCCTTGTGTGTCTGGCTCCTCGCTCCCTGACAACTACTCTATTCATCTGGACCATCCAGGGTTGCACGGCACTCATCAGGACTGTTTGAAAATTAGTCTTCATGTATTTTTCTGCCCAATGCAGCCATTTCTGCTTGTGACCATCGGTTAGTGGTGGCCGAATAGAAGGTTTATGCACAGTTACAAGACTCTGGAGGACTCTACACCTTGATGTCCGTGGGACTCCAGAGGCACCAGCAGCTTCAAATATCTGTTTGCTGCTATGTATTGGTATTTTAGCAGCTGCTCTCTTGATCCGATGCATGGATCTCGCAGAAATCTTCCTCAATGTGCCTTTATCTGCACGAACCCATCTGTGCTCTGAATCAGCCACAAATCTCTTAATAGTGCGATGATCACTCTTAAGTTTTCATGAAATATCTAATGTTTTCATACCTCATCCAAGGCATTGAACTATTTCACTCTTTTCGGCAGCAGAGAGATCCTTTTTCTATTGCTTGAAAATGGTGCTCTGCTTAATAATGTGGAACACCCTCCTTTTAGTAGTTTTTCCTTAAATTGGGCTCACCTGCCAATCTGATTATCACAGGTGTCCGAGATTGTTTTCAGTGATCAGAAGAGCCCTGAGACACAATGCGATCCGTAAGTTAAACTGAAAAACAAAATATTTAATCTTTGTGACACTTAAAAAGAATTTGCATAATAATTTGGAACAGGGTGTATGAGTGGATGTTATAAATAAACAAATTGTATACCTAGAAGAGGAATTAGATGAAATATAATACGTTAAATTTCTTACGTGTATGTATATATATATATGTGTGCCCATGAGATACAATGTTATACATAATAGACAATTAAAACAAATAAATAATTAAACATTAATTAAAAACCGTTAATACATGTAAAATCAAACAATAGGTGAAACAACCGAAATGATAATTGATGAACACATAGTAACTTAACGCTTAATGGTTATGGTTATACCCCATGTATCATCACACACTATTTATAGCCATGCCTTAAGTTACACCTACTGTTTGATTTTACATGTATTAACATCCACTCATATATATATAATATATATATATATATTATATATATATATTTATTTATTATTTTTATATATATATATATATATATATATATATATATAATTTTATTATTTTTTATAATAGTATTATATTTTTTTCAAATTAATTTAATTCCTTTCTATCTATGATCATCATTTTATATTCCATTCCCTTTTTTTCATCTCTCAGATGTGTGTCTATATATGCCCACCGATTCCACATGCCACAATTAAGTTCAGCATACAGTATACTGTATGTAAGCTCTGTACTCTGCTTAGACATTGCATTATATATTTGTATCCACATTCATCCTCCCCCCTTCCTCCATATGTTCCTCATAGTGCAGGTTTCCATCGTTATTAGTAGTACTGTTTTATATCCATCACTATGTATTATCCCAATATGAACTCCCGGATCTATAGAACTGCCCATACAGCCACTCCACACCCCCTCCATCCCCTATTTAAATAGCCTACTTCAGTGGCCAATTAGGTCTGAAGAAAAAGCTGTTTGCTTTGAAACGCGTCACTGCCCCTTCTGCGGCTTCATGCTACATCCTGACATCACTTCTGTCCAGCAGCCATCTTGGCTGCATTCCAGGCTGGCTGGCTTTTTTCCCTATGTGACCTAACCCTTGCTGGCTGGAGAGGCCAGGGCACACCCGCTCAGAGATCCAGTTCCTCCCGGCACTGCGACTCCCTGGACATCCATCTGCCCTCCTCGCTCCTCCCTTGGGACCCGCTAATGAGCACCAGCTATCATGGTAACCTTGGCCCCTGGAACCTCAGCCATCCGCTCCAGAGATCCCGCCCAGATGACGTCCTCCAATTCACTATTTGATGCCTAATATACACCAACCTCTTGTGAGTGTTTTTAAACCTGTGTGCAATAAAATTTTACCTTCTTACTACACTTAGTCTGGCGCACCTCTCTCTCTCCTCTTGTTTGTGATTTAGCATACAGATCTGAAAAAGAAAATGTTGAAGTGCCACTATACCTATATGTGGGATGGATGTATATAAGGATGTAACATCTAGGGACATCCACATATAGCTTGGTTCCCAAGTGCATGGTTTTAATTGTTCTAGTAGGTGGATACTATCTGTGATGTATGAAGGTCCTGAGCAAGCAGCTGCAGAAATGTGTCTATGTACTGAGAGAAACCAGTGGTGATGCTATTCATTGCTGCTACAATAGGTCTACCAGGGGGGTTATGGAGGGTTCTGTGGATTTTGGGGAGGTGATAAAAATAAGACATATGAAAGAAGTCTTTCTGCATAAAAGAGGCCTTAGTTTTAGTGATAACTTTGTAAGACCAGGTTCTATTGATCAAGGCTTCTAATTTATACTGAGGTAGTGGGTCTATCTTTAATTTTACGTAGGAAGAGGTGTCAGAAAGTAATCTATTTGCTTCTGCAGCATAGTCTGCAAGACTCTGGAGGACTCTACACCTTAATGTCCGTGGGACTCCAGAGGCACCAGCAGCTTCAACTACTCTATTCATCTGGACCATCCAGGGTTGCACGGCACTCATCAGGACTGTTTGAAAATTAGTCTTCATGTATTTTTCTGCCCAATGCAGCCATTTCTGCTTGTGACCATTGGTTAGTGGTGGCCGAATAGAAGGTTTATGCACAGTTACAAGACTCTGGAGGACTCTACACCTTGATGTCCGTGGGACTCCAGAGGCACCAGCAGCTTCAAATATCTGTTTGCTGCTATGTAATGGTATTTTAGCAGCTGCTCTCTTGATCTGATGCATGGATCTGGCAGAAATCTTCCTCAATGTGCCTTTATCTGCACGAACCCGTCTTTGCTCTGAATCAGCCACAAATCTCTTAATAGTGTGATGATCACTCTTAAGTTTTCATGAAATATCTAATGTTTTCATACCTCATCCAAGGCATTGAACTATTTCACTCTTTTCGGCAGCAGCAGAGAGATCCTTTCCCTTCCCCATATTGCTTGAAAATGGTGCTCTGCTTAATAATGTGGAACACCGTCCTTTAGTAGTTTTTCCTTAAATTGGGCTCACCGGCCAATCTAATTATCACAGGTGTCCGAGATTGTTTTCAGTGATCAAAAGAGCCCTGACACACAATGCCATCCATGAGTTAAACTGAAAAACAAAATATTTAATCTTTGTGACACTTAAATAGAATTTTCATAATAATTTGGAACACGGTGTAGACAAGGAACACCTTTACACTCTCTTTCTGAGCCCCAACCAAGATACAGAGCCAAGATATTGTTATTATCATCATCACCATCCTCCATTTTTTTTTACTAACATAGTTGTAGCAGATTTAACAAAATTGGACAGACAAAATAGAACAAACATTTCACTTTTTCTCAGCCTTTCTATTGGGGCAGATCACACTGAACTTGTTCAGAAATGCTTGCAGTCAGCAATGACACCATTCTCTTAAAGGATAGGTTTACCTTTGAAAACATGTTACACGTTCCACCCATTTTTAGGGTGGAACGTGTAACATGTTCTCGATCCTGTAGCCGCCCGCTCCCCCCCCCCCTTAATGTGACAGAAGTACAGGGAGAAATCCCGTACTAGCTGTCACTTTTCAAACACAGTGCGGCCATGCGGGGCTCTGCCACCTTTAACAACCTTCCGCCCGGCATATACAATGACGGGCGCAAGGTGGTTCTCTCGTTCTGAAAAGGACGTCATATGACGTCCTTCCATTCTCACCGCGCATGCGCAGCTCAGGAAGCGCGCAGCGTGGCGAATGCCGGTGCGCTGTGCCCCTCGGACACAGTGGATCACGGAAAGAGCCGAAGATGTCAGCTCGGTCATGTAATCAGCTGTGCCAATCACAGCTGATCACATGTAAACACGGAAATGCCGGTTATCGGCATTTCTCTCCTCTCGAGCTGTCCCGGTAATCAGCTTTCCGTGGAGGGGACATGAACACTGATCATCAGGGCACTGATGATCAGTGTGCCCTGATGATCAGTGTGGCCCCAGAAGTGCCAACTGTCAGTTTCCATCAGTGCCAGCAGTCAGTGCTCATCAGTGCCATGTGCCAGTGCCCATCAGTGCCACATCAATGCCACATATCAGTCCATCTGAGCTGCCTTTCAATGTCACCCATCAGTGCCAGTCAATGCCACCCATCAGTGCAACCTACCAGTGCCTCCTCATCAGTGCCACCTATCAGTGTCCATCAGTGCAGCCTATCAGTGCCCATCACTGCATCCTCATTAGCGCACATCAGTGAAGGAGAAAAATCACTTATTTACAAAATTGTATAACAAAAACTAAGAAAAAACTTTTTTTTCAAAATTTTCAGTGGTTTTTGGTTTGTTTAAGAAAAAATAAAAATCCCAGAGGTGATTAAATACCACCAAAATAAAGCTCTATCTGTCTCAAAAAAATTATAAACATTTCATATGGGTACAGTCTTGTGCCTGTCTTTTTGTGTTGTGCACCCATCCAGGGGGTCACACACACCCGCTGCCGAGCTAACCCCGTTACAATATATATATATATATATATATATATACACAGAATGGAGGAGTGAACGTCCAATCACAACCCCCTGATGAAGCCGCGTGATGCTAGGGGAGGGGCTACGATGTCACTGGCCATTCTTGGACGAGAGGTTCACATAAGGCATGCGGTGTTTGCCGTGCTGAAGACGCTACATTGTAACTATACATGCGGTTTTAAATTCTTTTATGTGTGAGTGCATTTGAGTACCTTATTAATTAATTACCAGTGTTTTGTGACTGAATGGACTACAAGTTCTGACAGCCCTAGCGGCTGTCGGCTTGTAGTTTTCAATGAACTACCATAGCGCTCTGAGCACTGTGGTAGTTCATTGAGTTTTCCTGTCAGCAAGTATTGGCTTGCCCATACAGGATGTATGTGGCAACAGCAATCTCCTTTACAGGTTCCTAACACAAAAAAAGTAATAAATGCACATTTTTTTACCTGCAAAAAAATGTGCATTTATTATTTTGTGTGGACAGGTAAACTTTAAACATCTGAAAGGTAGAATTTTTTATATGTCGTGTTATGCTGTATTTATAGAAAGGCCTTTTTTTCAAATGTGAACGCATAAGTAAAAATACACTTAAACAGCAGAGAAATCAGGTGTGCTTACAATTGCCAACAGGTATCGTATCTCTTTCAGTGAACCAAGACAGCCCAGAAATCCTAGCAACATCGTCAGGATCCCAATTCCAGAGAAGACATAGGACCAAACTTTCAAGGTGGGTGTGGAAGAGCCTGAGGAAAAGAAAGACAGAAAATTGAAGCAGGTTACATAATTTTCAGATTCTGAAACTTTCCTCCCTTATGCAGGTCATAGATGGGGAGAAAAAACGGCAGATTTTTCTTTTAAAAAACGAAAATTCGGTCGTTCAAGCGGCCGACGTTACCATCAATGGTAAAAAAAAATCGGCCGATTTTCATCCCTTCTACAGCTGGCAAAAAGTGTCCCTGCAGAGAGCTCCGCTATTTCTGACAGTTCTCTGACAGTTCCTTCACATTTACAGCGGTTGAAACATTGTATCTATTTGTTTCCATTTAGGATACAGATGTTTTTATTCGGAAACAAATAGATACAATGTTTCAACCGCTGTAAATGTCAAAGAACTGTCAGAGAACTGTCAGAAATAGCGGAGCTCTCTGCAGAGATACTTTTTGCTGGACTGGAATTCTTCTTATTTTCATCCTACTTCTTCTTCTTCTTCTTCTTCTTCATCATCCTCATCCTCTTCTTCTTCATCCTCATCCTCTTCTTCTTCTTCATCCTCATCCTCTTCTTCTTCTTCTTCTTCTTCATCCTCTTCTTCTTCATCTTCTTCTTCATCTTCTTCTTCATCCTCATTCTCTTCTTCTTCTTCTTCTTCATCTTCTTCTTCATCTCTCATCCTCTTCTTCTTCTTCTTCTTCATCTTCTTCTTCTTCATCCTCATCCTCTTCTTCTTCATCTTCTTCTTCATCCTCATCCCTCTTCTTCTTCTTCTTCATCTTCTTCTTCATCCTCATCCTCTTCTTCTTCTTCTTCTTTCTTCATCTTCATCCTCATCCTCTTCTTCTTCTTCTTCTTCATCTTCTTCTTCTTCCTCATCCTCTTCTTCATCCTCATCCTCTCCTTCTTCATCCTCATCCTCTTCTTCATCCTCATCCTCTTCTTCTTCTTCATCCTCTTCTTCTTCCTCTTCTTCTTCATCCTCATCCTCTTCTTCATCATCCTCTTCTTCTTCTTCTTCTTCATCCTCATCATCCTCTTCTTCTTCTTCCTCTTCTTCATCCTCTTTTTCATCCTCTTCTTCATCCTCTTCCTCTTCTTCTTTTTCTTCTTTTTTTGTCTTCCTCTTGCAGGTCACTGCTCATGCACAGATTTTTTATCGGTAAAAAATCGGCCGATTGGCCCAATAATGCCGCAAAAATCGGCATTTTTTTCTAACTTTACCAAAAAAAAAAAACCGGCCAAAATCCCGAAAAACGGCCGACCAAATTGCCCACTAACGATCCGAAAATCGGCCGATTTTATTTTCGGCCGATTTTCGACCCATCTATGGCCTGCATTAGTCTCTCCAAAGATTCCAGCCCTAGCTAGTGAAGGATCAGAACATTTTCTGCAAGTCTGGCATGTTTAAATTAGTTTTTCTGCAGCCTTCTGTTAAGTTATTTATGTAGATTTATGTAGCACATACCCTTGAGAGCCACTGGTTTTGGGTTCCCCTTATTTCCTGCACAGTTAGGCAACACGCATTTTTCAACTTGCATTCAGAGTCAGTAAACAGTCCATGGGCTTGTTTTTGTTGTTTCATTTGGGGATAAACAACTTAGATAGGGTCTAGGGGTTTATGGGATGCCCAGCTTGACTAGAACAATAACTCTGAGGACAAAGTTCACAAAAATGTAGAATCCTGGACTTTCTACTCCCTCTGGAGTGGCAACAGTCTTTTCACAGATCAGTAACACAGTCTTTATAAAGAGCACTTGGTCCCCTCTAAATGAACCTCTTCAGATCCAGCTAAAACTACCCATCCACCTGGCTGTCTTTTGAACAGTATCCTGAAGCAAGAGATTCTGAAACAGGCTTGCAGCACTGTCCAAGGGAGAACTGGTTAAGTACAGCACCTGTAAGCCCTGGGGGTGTAGAGGTACTCAAACTGTTCTTGTGTCCTATAGCTTTGAATGAACTGGTTTCATGCTTTTGCTGGGCTGGTTCTCTTGTAGGCTAACAGGCTGTCCTTCCTTGGTGGACTGTAAGGTAGTGGAGCTCCCTCTGTCAGCTTCCTTCTGACCCTCAGCCTGAAGGCAGAGCTCGATCCCCTCCTTTGAGGTCCCCTCTCAGGCTAACAGCAACGCTCCTCAATACTCCATCCTCCACCCGACTCCCCTGCTGGCCAGGCTGTGTCACATTTATGGTCCAGTCTGGTACACTGCCAGGCCTCCTACCTGGGATTGGTCAGACTCCCATAAATATGCAGATAAGCTCCCCCTGGCCTCCACCCACTGGCTTCTAGAAACTTCTAGAAGCTTTTAGAGCAGGGGGAGGTACCAGAGGGCTGACCTGTAGAACCCACCAGCCTGCCCTGAAGTAAATACTCTGATTCATACCCAGGCAAGCCTCTGTCTATGCTCACAAACTATGTACACTAAAGGGTGCTACACTTACATTACCTACATTTTAAACAGGATGTTTAAAATGTATTATTTTACTAAAACATTGTACACGCTAGGGCTACATAAAGGGTAAACCTGCTTTCTATACTACATACAGTACATTCTGTAGAAATAACCTTATTACACTATTTTTGTGTCCTAGCCAAGCAATTGACTACATTAATTAGTTTATGTTTACACAACTGTCCACAATACTTGATAATACCCATTAACATTTAACCTCCTTGGCGGTATACCCGAGTGTAGCTCGTAAAATTTCAGTCCAAGAGCGGTAACCCCGAGCTACACTCGGGCTTACCATGTGGCATTGCTCAAGGAGTCCCTGCAGCACTTACCTTGTCCTTCGCTCCCGCGATGTGTCCCCTGCAGCGTCTCCGGCCATCTCCTCCGGCCGATGCTGGCATCCGGCTTCCGTGTTCTGGTCCCTGTGATGTCGGGACGTACGGGCAAATTTGAAATTTTTAAAAAATGTCTTTTTTTAAAATGATTATTATATAGTAAAACATTGCTGTTTCAATGCATTTCACATATATTTTGTCCCTACTGCTTTGTCCTGTGCCCTGCCTGCATTTTGACTGTTCTTTCTGCCTGGAAACTTAGAAAAGTCCATGGCGTCCAAAAAGCGTCCCTTTATGTCAAAAGCGGTTGCAGACCAGCTAGAGAACAGCGATAGTAAATCAGAACCACTTGCAGAATTGAGTGATAATGATTTGTGGGGAAATTCGTCATCAGACACTGAAAATGATTTTGCGACTTTGCTCAGCGATGTGTGAATTTGCCTCTGTATTTCAAATTTCTGTGTTTTTGGTTTGATTATATTATTGAATTAAATATATTATTATTATATTATTATTTTTTATGATTATTTATTAAATTATAATTTATGATTTCGTGTTTCAAGTTTTATCGTATCCGGAATGTTTACTAGACTCATGTTCGGACAGATTTCAGTGAGTTATTCCTAAAAATTACAGCCTACAATAAAAAAACTACATATTTCCATGCAAAAAAAATGGTACCGCTTTCAGCACAAAAAATCGGAAATAATCATACCGCCAAGGAGGTTAAAGCAGAGTTTAGAGCTGCTTTCTTCTGGGTAAATGCAACTATCTCCTATCTCCGCTCTTAACTAGAAAAACGCATTGACTCCTGTTAAATTCAGAACAAATGGTGTATTTATATTTGTGTGTATGTTGACCAGTCCTCACCTCTAGCCGCACTCAGGTTTACGACTGTAGCCTGTTTCCTAAGAAACATCTCCCCTCCCACTATTCATGTGATCCTTATCAGCTTCTAATTGGGGTGGAGTTGAATGCTCATTTGAGCATCTCCCTATAAATTTAGATCAGCTCATGGGGGGAGATCACTGATGGGGGGCACAGTCTCTGATGGGGGTGCTGCTTCTGATCGAGTGCTGCGTTGAAGGAGTGCGAAGCAGTTAAACACAGCAGTTGAACTAAAGCAGGAGAACTTAAGCAGCAGGAAGACACAACAGCAAGAAACTCTACTGCACGCTGGACAGACTGCAGGAAAACACCCTGGGAAACATCTCTTACATACCTGAGTCTCA